ACAATCACATGCTAATAAACATTTTTTCGATGCAACGACAAATTGGTCAAGCAAAGTTTAAATACCCAGTGAGAACAATAACAGAAATCTTAAACGAATTTGCCGATGAACAATAATTAGTGACTGTAGTATAACCAGGGCTTAACAATCCAACAAAGTTGGTATCACTGAGTATACGTCACAGTTCCACTCCTGCGACACCAAGTGGTGGCGCGCGCAGTCCATCTTATATTTTGCGTATGGTAACGGTTTCGTCCTGCGTTGTACCATTTTTGTACCGGGGATTAAAAATGTGTTTCCTGTTCGAATAAAATAGTAACAAACAAATGTGAGTGTTGTTATTCAACCGGAACCTAAATACATTATAACTTGGCGACGAGTAAATACGAACCCTCCGCACCCCCAGAAGTGTATAATAAGTGTGCAGTGCAGAAGAAAAAAAAAAAACAAAATGTCACCGACACCGGAAAAAGTGCCCGACTATACCACAATGATTGGAAATCTAAGAGAATTTTCCTTGCAAGATTCGGATTGGAAAATTTTTAGAGCGAGAATGGAACAATTTTTTGTGGCAAATAATATCGCGGACGTAAATAAGAGACGAGCTTTGTTGTTGAATGCATGCGATGAAGACGCTTATCGGTTAATTTATAGCTTATCGTTTCCAACAAATCCCGAGGAAAAATCCTATACTCAACTGATAGCATTGTGTGACACTCATTTCAAGTCCACATCTAGTGCTTTTCATGAGAGACTTAAATTTTATAGTGCAAAGAAACATACCGAAGAATCTATTTCGGAGTGGGCCGCGAGAGTAAGGCAATTGGCGATAAAATGTGAATTTGGAGTCGAATTAATGATCATTTTAAGAGACAAATTCATTATAGGAATTGAAGACTCAAAAATCATGCAGAGATTATTTGAAGAAAAAATAGACATTTCATTTGAGAAAGCGGTCGAAGTTGCCAACAGCCAAGTGGACAAAAACTCTGTAAAAAACATCGTGAACGTGAAAAGTGAAGTTTTTTATCAAGATTCAAAAAACTATAACAAACAACGAAATATCGGAAGTTTTTCAAGATCAGCGATAGATGGCGCTAGTAGTAGTGGCTGGATACCGAGGTCGCACCTGACCGGTGGCCCATCGACGTCGGCAGCGAATAACGACCCCAGGAAAAAGAAGACGTGGACTTCTTCGACAGCTGACAACGTAAACAACAGAAATAGGTTATGTGAGGTCTGTGGAAGATCTAATCATTTCAAAGATAAGTGTTTTTTTAAGAATTCTTTTTGCAACATATGTAAAATTAAAGGACACATTGCTAAGGTTTGTCATAAATATAGAAATAGTTTTTTAGAGATGCCAAATACTAAGGAATATGTAAATACATCAGATGACTCTGACAATGATGTTATCAATCATATGTTTAATTTGAATTTAAATAGTAAAAACGAAGTGCTAATTAGAATTTTGGTTAATGCAAAACATTTCGAATTTCAGCTGGATACAGGATCATCTGTATGTGTAATTTCAGAAAACTTTTATGAAAAATACTTTACAGAAATACCTGTAGCTCATACAAAAAAATTCAATTAGGACATCTAATGATGTAATAAATGTAAAAAAAGATTTAGAAAACAGTTTTACTAAAGTTTTTTCTTCTACATTAGGTAAATTCAATGGAGGCACCATGAAACTACGGATTAAAGAAGGAACAATACCACGTTTTTTCAAAAGTCGTTCAATACCCTTTGCATTGAGAGAAGGAGTTGAAGCAGAACTAGAGAGACTTATAAACGAGAATATAATCAGCCCAGTATCATTCAGCGAGTGGAGTACCCCCATTGTTCCAGTAGTAAAGAAAGGAGGGGGAGTACGCTTATGTGGTGACTATAAAATTACTCTTAACCCAGTTTTACTGATAGATAAATATCCACTACCGCGCATTGAGGAACTTTTTTCAAATTTGCAAGGTGGTGTAGAATTCACCAAAATAGATTTATCACATGCTTATCAACAGGTAGAACTAGATAAAGATTCAAAATTGTTAACAGCAATAAACACTCATAAAGGTTTATTTGTCTACAATAGGCTCCCTTTTGGTATTGCAAGTGCTCCTGCCATTTTCCAGCGTATAATGGAGCAAGTATTGGTAGGAAGCGAAGGGGTAGTATGTTTTCTGGACGATATCCTAATTACCGGTAAAAATAGAAAAGAACACTTAAAGAGGGTTTATGAAGTTTTGGGAAAGTTAGAGAAAAAGGGATTTACAGTTAAATTAAGTAAATGTGAATTTTTTAAAGAGTCTGTTACTTATTTAGGGTACAAAATAGATAAAAATGGGTTGCATACATGCGATGATAAAATTAGAGCCATTAAGGAGGCACCCATCCCAAATAATGTTACACAAGTTAAATCTTTCTTAGGTCTAGTCAATTTTTACAATAAATTTATACCTAACGCTGCAACAGTATTACACCCACTTTACAATTTACTAAAAAAAGATGTAAAATTTCAATGGGATACAATTTGTAATGAATCTTTCATACAAATAAAAGATATTTTAAGTACTGCACCAATACTAACTCATTTTGATCCAAGTATAAAAATAAAACTCATGGTTGACAGTTCATTTTATGGAGTGGGGGCTGTACTATTGCATGTTTTCGGTAAGAATGATGAAAGACCTATTGCATTCGCTTCACAAACACTCAACAAAAATCAAGAGAAGTATTCACAAGTAGAGAAGGAGGCTTATGCAATAATTTTTGCTTGTAAAAAATTTTATCAATATTTATATGCAAAAAAATTCATTTTATGCACAGATGCAAAATGTTTAATCAGTATATTTGGGGATAAAAAGGGTATACCCATATTAGCAGCCCACAGGTTGCAACGTTGGGCATTAATCTTAATGAATTTTGTTTATGATATAGAATATGTGAAATCAGAAGACAATAAAGCAGATTGCTTGTCGCGATTGCCCCTTAAGGAGCAATCATCTGATAATGATGAAATAGATATGGGCTATTTTAATTTCATTGTTTCGAATCAGGATCTACCTGTTGACTGGGCGCAAGTTCAAACAGAGACTACTAGAGACCCTATTTTAAGTAAAGTCATAGGATATGTAAAACTGGGTTGGCCCAATAAAATTGAAGTAGAATTGAAACCGTATCAACAGTTTAAAAACCAACTTAGTTTTGTAGATGGTTGTTTGATGCTGGGCCATAAAGTCTTAGTCCCTTTTGTTCTAAGAATGAGATTTCTAAAACAACTTCACTCTACGCATTTGGGTATGGTTAAGACAAAAAGTTTGGCCAGATCATATGTATGGTGGCCTCAATTGAATTTGGATATAGAAAATTTGATTAAAGCATGTGGCACTTGCATGAAAATGCAAAATTCCCCGGTTAAAACACCACTAATGACTTGGGAATATCCAGAAAGGCCATGGGAGCGGATTCACATAGACTATTTGGGGCCAATATTTCAGAAATATTATATTTTAGTTATATTAGATGCTCATAGTAAGTGGTTGGAAGCCATACTTACCGTCAACACCAAGTCAGTCACTACCATTACGGTGTTACGAGAAATTTTTGCTAGGTTCGGATTACCTTTTAAATTAGTTTCAGACAATGCCTCTAATTTTAAGTCAAATGAATTTCAAACGTTTTTGTCAAAAAATAATATAGAGTTTAAAGATATTGCCCCATTTCATCCAGCTTCCAATGGACAAGCAGAGAATTCTGTTAAAAGTGTAAAACATGCTTTACTCAAATCTGTCAAAAAGGGCACTGTAAACGAAATTAATTTTCATTTAAATAATTTTTTATTGTCGTATAGGGTAACTCCTCACTGTACTACGGGAGTTCCACCTGCCAATATGATGTTTAATAGGAATATCCGCACAGCACTGGACTTTGTAAATAATCATGTAAATATTACTTTTAAGAATAGTGACAAACTAGAGGAGATTAAGGAAAATGTTGAAAAGAAACAAAAAGCACAGATTAAATTTTACAGGGGAAAAAGGAACAGGATATATAGTGTTAATGAAAATGTAGCTGTAAGGGATTATAGGTTAGTAAATAGGCGAAATTGGGTTAAAGCGGTTATTAAAAATAAAATAGGACCTAGAAGTTATTTGGTTTATGTTCCGTCACTGGACAAAATCTGGAAAAGACATATTAATCAAATTATAGATTTCAGTTCATTTGAACTAAAAGATGAGGAAATTCATGTTGATAACAATAACAAAGAAATAAATACTGCAAATGCAGGATGTTCAACTAATAGTACTTTTGTTAACAGTGGCAATGTAAGTCACGAGGTAGTAAATAATTCTAATAACGATATTGATGTAATTAATGATCAATGCACACCTAGGCGTAGTAAGCGTAATTTAAAAAATGTTAAATATGTTTAAATTTAAAGTTGTATTATAAATTGTTATGTACGTTTAAATTTAAGGAGGGAAAAGTGTAGTATAACCAGGGCTTAACAATCCAACAAAGTTGGTATCACTGAGTATACGTCACAGTTCCACTCCTGCGACACCAAGTGGTGGCGCGCGCAGTCCATCTTATATTTTGCGTATGGTAACGGTTTCGTCCTGCGTTGTACCATTTTTGTACCGGGGATTAAAAATGTGTTTCCTGTTCGAATAAAATAGTAACAAACAAATGTGAGTGTTGTTATTCAACCGGAACCTAAATACATTATAGTGACACATATTGTTTTTTTATTCGTATTCATCTTACACATATAGCTTGTAAATCGATGGCCATTTGGTTGTAATATTCATAACCAATAAAGTGCTTTTATTGTTATTATTTTTTCACATATCGTTTTTAAATACTCGAAAATTTCCTGTATTTCCTCCAAAATTTTGATATAAAGGTCTATTTGATTGGACTACCGCAATCTAATAAAGCTCTACATTCCCATTTCCATTCTAACAAGTACACCCATATTTGGGTCGAATTAAACATACCTGTTCTCTCATACTCTTCTTTAATGTTTCAAATGTATTCGTTACTTCTTCTCTTCGTCTAACCATGTTTGCTATGCTCTGTTTTAAAGCTTTTAAATGTTCTTTGGTATCAATTTGAAGGTACTGAGCACGGTGATACGACGAAGCGTATGATCTGTAATTCGGATCTGGATAATACTTGTCGCCTTTAGCTGTAATTCCTTGACGACAATTTTTAGGTACAAATTGCTTATCGGAAAGTAACTGCTGGGCACGTGTATCTGAGGGGATTAGCAAAATATATTCCGGACTGCAATTATCGACAATGCAATTTGAAACTATCGGATCGTCGATTTCGATTGCGTTGAAGACGCTGATGCAATCGTCAGGTGCGTTTATCAAATTTTCTGGTACGTTGTGTTTTTTCATTAGGAATTTGGAGGTTATAATTTGTGGATGACGTGCATTTCCTAATACCTTATTAAATAATTCTCGAAGAAGTTCATTATCTTTCTTATTATCAACTGCAAAAGCTTGTAAAATAGATGGTCCAATGTATCCTAAAACAAAGAAAATGCCTAGAATTTTGTACTCATGGACAAAGATTTTAAACCAATTTTTAATAAACAATAGTAGTTTGTACAACAAGAGTGGATATGATGGCCATATCGCACGAAGACGAAATTTGAGCACGACGCCGTAGGCGGAGTGCTCAATCGTCTTAATGCGATGTGGACAATCCACTCGAGTTGTACAGTATATTTTTTCTACGACCCACTAACCCAGAAAAAAAATATTTTAGGTTATTAAGACAAAATAACTAATTTTAAAATATTTTGACTTAATAATTTTTAAAATAAAATAAACGAAAAAAAAAAAGCTCATTTCATTTTTCCCCATCCGAGAATCGAACTCAAGTCTTCGCGTATGGAAGGCAAGAACGCTATACCACAGGACCAGCTACTCTTTTATTTTTATTGCTTTAATACTCGTAATTAAATTGACTTTATATAGTTTTATTTAAGAGCAAACATGACGGGCGCTCCTCCGCCAAAAATCAATTTTACATTTGAGGCAGTTAAAAAAAATGGTTCAGGCCAATCGTTGTAAAAATGAACCAAGAATTTCGCTAAACCGCGAAAAACTTATATTTTTAAAGAAAAACAACAAAAATTTCAACTTTTTAATAAATTTATTTATTTTTTTTTTATATACTTTATTGTCAGAGAGAATACATGATTCCATGGACAAAGTTTAATACTAATGGTATAATAAAACAAATAGATATCAACGTTCACGTTATTAAAAAATATTAAAATTGATTACAATAATTAAAAAAAAAAAAATTTTTGGCTCTTTACCGGCATTCTATAACAAATATCTTAACTATTTTCTAAATAACTTTTTTTCAAAAAGATTACCAATTTTAAACAGGACCGAAGATTAACATAGTTTTCATTCCGATACTAATTCTATTAAAACAATGATACCAGTGAATATGGCAACGCTGCTAGTCTTTGAAGCCCGTGGTTAAAAGGGTAGCTGCCGTTTAGTTAAATTTGTTAATTCCTGTGTCGAAAAATAGGTAGTTGTTTTTGAAGAGGTGCGAAATTATTGTGATCGTCTTAGTTTGTTGTTGAGGCGTTGTTAGGTTTTTGTTTAATTTAGTTTTTAGTTAATTTATGAAATGAAAAATTCTGGAAGGCAAAAATGCACAGCTGACAAATTTCTATTTTATTTGTTTGCTGCCAGAGTTAGTAAATCCTAGAAAAATACGACATGTGCCAATTAGGGAAAAGAGATTGTCAAGAGTTTTGCACGCTTAAAAAAATGTGTAATATACAGGGTGTTTCTAAATACATGCGACAAAATTCAGGAACTGATTGCTCGTATGAAATTAAGATGGGTCTTTCCTATAACAACATTTCCTCAGCCCTCCCCTTTTCGAGATATCACCCTTAAAAAGTGGTGACTAAAATTGAGTTTTTATTTATTTTTTTTTTAATTTCAGTAAAGCTAGAAACTTGAAATTCTGTAATCGCAAAGGACTAACCACGGGTATTTTTTCAATATTTAACTTTAACTTCAAAAAAAAAAATTAACACCCTAATTTATTATTATTTTTTTTTAATAAATTGAGTGGAAAACAGTGTAACGGGCTTGTAACTATCGTATCGTACACTCTGTCATTATTCGTTTCTTACAATAATTTACACCAGGTTACACCAGAAGATAGCACTTAACGAAGCGTTTTAGCCACTAATTTTGACGAATTTTAAGAAATCATTAACAAGACATTAGGGGCTTAAATTTGGGGATTATATTAAGAATAGTGCTGTCGAGGAATGCATTTATTTTCATTATGATATTTCAAAATTAAAGCCCTTTTAGTTTTTTTGAGAAACTGGAAGGAATTAAAACATTAAAATATATGCATATTATAGATATTATTGCCTAATTTATTTTGCCAAAATTTAAATATTTTGAGTTATTCTTGTCCGATAATTATAAGGGGTATGAACACCTTAAGATTGAAAGAGAATTAACTTTAATTCATGAGATGCAAAGCATCATAATTGTCGCGTCACAAAAACCACCTGCTGCCAAGAGAAAATTTTGATTCAACAGTATTGTATATTTTGTGTTGTAAGAGAGAAAAAATTTTTTTAATACAGACTTTAAAAAATTGTTATATTAATATACTTATTTAATTGTACTTATATTTGTTGTTCCTTTAATACAATAAATACAATTTACCTATCTCCAATTCATCACTTTCCGTATCCATATACCTAGGGTCCGATTACAATTAGAAAAACACCGCTACGTCGTAACTATTATTTCGAATTTCCAATATACAGGGTGTCCCGAAATTAGACGGTCATATTTTAACAGCGTAATCTACATCCTACAAGTATTAGAAATTAAAAAAAAACCGAATTTAAAAACGTGCAGATGCCGTCACCCAGAGCTGGGACGAATCCTCGAAAAATGGATTCGAATCACGGATCCAATGTTCGAATCCTTTTTCAAAAAAAAAAAAAAAAAAAAAAAGATTCGAATCACTTGATTCGAATCCTTTTTTTCGGATCACGAATCAGTGTTATACTGTGATAATAATTATATTTGCTTTCGAAACTAATACTGTTTTATACCTCGGTCCTAAAATATTTAACGCACTTCCGGTGGAATTTAAAAACCTAAATTCGATAGGTCTTTATAGATCTAAATTGCAATAATGGATATTAACTAAACAAGGATAAATATTTTAAGATTTTATTAATTTAAATATAAATAAAATCTAAAATCATTTAGCTAAAAAGAACTTTACTTATTTGCAATTATCCAATTATTTATGTATATGATAATTATTTATAAAATATTCAATGCTATAGCTAGTTTGTATCTATAATAAATAAAAAAACAAGTATTAGAAATTAAAAATTAAAAAAAAAAACGACTTCAAAAATGTGCAGATCTTAACCAAATTTATATGGAACCATCCCTGAGGTACCCCCTTACTAACAAAAAAAGAATCATATGAATCGGACAAGGTGGTAAAGCATTATCGCTAAACATACATAAAAAATGAAGAGTTTGAGGATTTTGTCATGGACCCAATTATTAGATTTTGACCAAATTTATATGGGACCACCCCTGAAGTACCCCCTTTCTAACAAAAAAAGAATCATTAAAATCGGACACCGTGTTAAAGAATTATCGCTGAACATACACAAAAAAAATTAAAAAAAATATTGCGACGAATTGAGAACCTCCCTCCTCCTTTTATGAAGTCGGTTAAAAATAGGAGTAAAAGTTTATATAAAAACGTTTCGTTTTCGAGATACAGGGTGTTACAAGTGAAGTCCAGATGAAATATTTTCTAAAATTTCTTTAGTTACCGGTTTTTCAAAGTTAAAAAAAAAATAAAATTTCTAATTGTACAGACCTACTAATTATTGTTTACACTTTCGAATAATGTAACATGCTTTTCTCTTGAAAATGGCGCGTACTAGCGAGATGCAACAAATGTAGCTTTATTATACAGAAAATATTGGTTTTCCAAATTTTATAGTCAAAAAATCTGATGTGTCCAACACATGACTTTCCTATCTAGTTATTATAGGCTTTTTCTGGTTATTTTGTACAACTTATTACAGTACCTCTATAAATGTTTAGAGGATAAACTAAATATATACATTTTCCACATACATCTATCTACCTCGAAACATTTTTCTATAGTTATTCATTGAAAACGAAAATACTGAAAAATTTAAATTTAGCAATTTTCCTACAATTTTTCCATTACGGTCCATTTTAGAAAAATCATGTATAAACAAAAATTATAGAGATCGATATCGCAAACAACTTTTAGTTTAGTTTAGAATTTTGCACATTTTGTCAAATTTCTCGAATACGGACCATTTCAGGAAATTTTGACATAAAGCAAAAATTATAGATAATAATATTAGAAGTAACTTTTATTTGAATAATTTTCTTCTCCAAACATAAATAACAGATATATTCAATAAAATATAAAAACGGCCTCCCATAAAGTACCCCCCCAGATGTTCCGACTTTGTCCAAAATCTAATTATTTCACGTCAGGCCGAAATAAAACTTAAGTTTAAAATTTACTGTTTTTCTGTGTATCGGTTCATGAATTATGGTGGATATAGACACACAGACACACACGGCAATTTTACCCTAAGTTAAGTTAAGAAGATGATCCATAACTGGGGTTTAGTCCAATAAATGAAGGGTAAAAAGGTAAGTATTTGTAACAAATTTTACCTAATTATCTTTAAACGTTTAGAAAATATTTACAAAATTATGGTATCAGTACTTCACCTTTAACACCCTGTATCTCGGAAAAGAAAAGTTTTCGTACCTGTTTATATGAACTTTTACTACTATTTTAGGATGTAGATTACGCTGTTAAAATATGACCGTCTAATTTCGGGACACCCTGTATATCATCTATAACTATCAATAAATAAAAAATATTTGAGTTGTTTGGTTTAAAAATAGTATTCCTACATTCTTATATTAACAAGCCACTAACCCCCAGTAGGCTGCGATAGCCAACGAATTATACCTGAATTGTAATCGGACCCTTCAGGGTACGACACACAACATTGCCAAATTTATGTAGCGAACAAGGTTCCAAATACTTTAAGGGGAGGTCGTGAGATTCGTGCGGTGTGACGTCATAAGCCCCGCCCTCAGTTTCGATAAAAATGTTGAGGTTACGGCATTTTTGCAACGCCGGTGCACATAGAGAGCCGTCTTAAATTAAGAAATTATTTATAATTATAGACGAAATAAAAACAAAAATGCAATTATTTATCGATTCTACACAAGCATAACCCATTTTAATGTACGTTTAATCTCAATAACTAAAAAATATACTGACAGTTTGACAGAATTGTCACTTATTTAAAATTTTAAAAATAATAGCAGTCGGTTGATCAAAATGTGAACGGTGATTGGTGGATTTAATTTTTTTTGCAGTGTTCTCACTACCTAGAATGGATATGAAATATATTCGTTCAGTTGA